CAGACAACTGCAGCAACCATCTTGCCAGCAGCAGTTTTTGTTATGGGGACTTTCACATTACCTGCCTACCCTGAGGAAAATTCAGAATATCCGAACCAACTGGGAAGTGGCAAAGTTAATTGCTTGTCCAGTTCAGCTGTCATTTATACAAACCCCTAAATATTTGAAGTCTGTGTATGTTGCCTTCCTCTTCCCCCCCCCCATACAACTGTAAAAAAATTAGTTACGTCATTTATAGTCCACCTTTCTCACTTGGACTCAAGGCAGATTGCACAGAGTTTTGTTTTAGTTTTCTGTGGATAAAAGATTCCAAACCTTGTGAGGAGTCATCTGAATGGTGTAAGTAGGGAAATAAGGGCCCCGCGGGCACCAGTTCTCTGGTGGGGACAAGTTAGGACCTCTTGAGTGCCTCCTCAATGATGCTTACAGAGAAAACGAATAGGCTTTATTCCGCTTTTGCGAGTCTTACAGTCTTTATTCATTTATCCCATCAAATGCTCAGAGCAGAGGGCAGACAAGAATCCTGATGGAAAGAAGAGGGCCATGCAGCGGCGGCAGCGGCGGCAGCTGAGCCGGTTGTTGCTCCCATTGCGGCGGCAAGGGCAGCTGCCACGAACCCCTTGGAGCAGCCTGACACTGAGTCGGACAGGCCTTCAGTCCAGCGGGGTCAGCAGCACTGTCTGCTCAGAAAGGCAGCGGCTCTCCGGAGTCTCAGGCAGAAGGTCTTCACATCACCTCCTGCCTGGTCCTTTTAACTGGAGATGCCGCGGGGGATCGAACCTGGGACCTTCCGCATGCCAAGCAGAGGCTCTACCTGCAGACACTTTAGGGCTGCCTTCGGTCCCTCCACTTCTTCCCCCTCCAGACCTGTGCAAGTGGGAGCCTGTGAGGCAGGACCAAAGTAGAGACGGCCACAAGGAAGGCATCCCATTCAAAAGTGATTTAAAAATTCTGCAGGGGCCTGATCCTGAGTTCTCATGATCCAGTAAACTCGTCACACAATCAACGAAGGAAATCAGGTTGGTCTGACAAGATCTGTTCCCGGATCACTCTTCCCCAGATCACTAAGTGGTCCTTCAGATGCCTACAGATCGATCCTTTTAAAATCTGCTCTAATATCTTCCCAGCAACAGAAGTCAGACTGACCGGCCTGTAGTTAACATTCACTCTCCTCCAATCTTGTGGCACCTCCCCAGTCCTCCAGGAGGCCTTGAAGATGATGGACAGAGGCTCTGCAAGTTCCTTAGACAGTTCTTCGCGCACTCTTGGGTGCACACTGTCTGGCCCAGGAGATCTGTATTCGTCCAGTGCAGCCAGGTGCCTCTCCACAACCTCCCTGTCAATGTCAACTGGACACTCAGGTGTCCTGTCATGTCCTCTACCATCTCTAGATGGGCTCGAGTTCTTCAGGGAGAAAACAGAGGCCAAAAAATCCATTAAGCCTGTCTGCTTTTTCTCTGTCCTCCACCAAAGCTTCTCCTTCTACTCCCGAAAGTGGTCCAATTGCCTCTTTTACCTTGCGTTTGCTTCTCACATATCTTGTAGAAGCTTTTCTTATTATAGCGAGCCCTCCTGGCCAGACCCAACTCATACTGAGCTTTCGTTTCTCTGATGGCTGATCTGCAGTACCTAGTAACTCTCATATACTCCTCTTTAGAGGTCTGACCTTCCCTCCATTGCCTGAACATTTCCTTTTTCTCCCTTAGCTTATTCTGGAGCTCTCGGTTCATCCACGTCAGTTTCTTGGAGCCCCTACCATGTTTCCGTCTTGCCGGAATAGTGAGGGCTTGAACTCGCAAAAGCTCATGTTTGAGAAGAGCCCACCCTTCACTCACTCCTTTCCCTTCCAGCACACTCCTCCATGGAATGGCTCCCATCAAGCCCCTGAGTTCGTTGAAGTGGGCCCTGCGAAAATCTAACCCACGAGTCTGGCTATGGGCTGCAAGGAAGACCATACAAACTGGGAGACTCAGAAACAAAAAGCAAAAACTGTCCCGGGAGCCTGCGAGGGCTGGGTCCCAGTCTCCCCGGTAATTCCCGAATATTTCTGGGATTTTTCGGGACCATTTTTTTTTCAGTTTTCAAAAAAAAATCCTGGATATATTTGGGATGTCGAATGTACCTGGAAAATACCGATTCAGCTCTGGTGCCTCCAAACACACACACAGCTAATAGTGACCATGAAGTTGGCATCATGTCTTCAGTGTGGCCCGCAGTCTTCCCAGGCCCTACTCTGGTCTCACTCGGGGTGTGCAGGTTTTTCTTCTTGGTATTTTTCCATTCAGGTCTGTTGGCCCAAAAAATTTTCAGGATTCCTAAAGGGGGAAAAAACTGGTAAAGTATTAGAATCCAGGATTTTTCGGAAATCCTGAATTTTTTCAGGTCCAATAGACCCAAACCGAAAAACATTGGGGGGGGGGGAGCAGCAAAGTTGCTAAAAAGAGCTAAGAGTGTCTTACCTGGACTGCCCATCAGAGCCTGCCCAGGAGCCAATCCTGTGTGTAGACCGGACTGCCCAGCAGAGCCCACCTAGGAGATGATCCTGTGGGGAGAGTTCTCGCTGCAGGCTCTGCTGGGAAACTGTTTTGTTGGTAATTCCTGAATATATCCCGGATTGGGGGGGGGATTTCCCCCCAGTTCTCCCGAAAATCCCAGATATATTTGGGAACCCAAAAAAATACCCCCAAAATACCAATAAGGTGTTTTCTGAGTATATTTTTGGTTCTGGTAAAATATCTCAACCATGTCGAGGAGGCTGCAGGCAGATGTAACATCAGAACCAAAACTGCCTTTCTCATGTTCAAGTAACAGCTGGCGCTAAAAACAGACTGGTGGTAGCAGAAAATTACAAAGCAGCACATTGAAAAGGGAAGGTAGAAAAGGAGGTTCAGACTCAGGTAAACTTTCATAATGTACTCCTACTCTTTTCTAGGTGCTGTACATGACAACAGTGCCTTTTGACCCTGAAGGAATTTTGGGGACCATCAATTCTGTCATCATGGCCTTTTTGGGACTTCAGGTACCATCCATCTCCTCTTGATCTGCACAGGCAGAGAAGGGCCATTTCCACCTGGGAACAACAGTCAGGTCGCATTACTGTAAAAGGCAGGAATAGTCTTAGAATTTTAGAGGTTGTGGTTCAATTTCGGGCACTTGCTGCATCTGTAAGCATAGCTTAATGCCTACTTTGCAGGGGTGGCACCCGGCTTCTTACCCCTGAGTCCTGATGACCACTTTTCTAAGGTACCCAGGATTCATCTGTGTTCTTGGGGGGGGGGGCAGTAAACCTCAGCACACATCAGAGAGTACAGAGGAAAGCTGGCGGTCAAAAACGGAGTTACCCTGGCAAAGAAAGGGGGTTGAAGATTCTGCAAGGGTGCTGCTGTACCATTTTGGACCACACTTCAGATTCGAAAGGCATTGGTAGGCCCCTTCCCTGAAGCATCAGAGAGGCTTTTTCACCACGATCTTGGCAAATTAGACAAACCTCTCAGTACTTTTTAGTTTGGATCATCTTCAGTTGTTTCCCCCTTTTAGTGCATCAGTCCACTGTAGGCTCTTGCTGCTTCTAATTTCCTACTTTTACTTTTAAGGCAGGAAAAATTCTCTTGTTTTACAAAGACCAGCACCAACAGATAATGCTCCGCTTTTGTGTTTGGAGTATAATAATGGTAAGTCACAAAGATTACCCTAATGAACCTTTAGTTCAATATGTTAACTCCTTGATGCTCTCAAAGCCTGTGTTATCTTCTGGAAAACTTGACTTAGAAGAACTATCATTTGCAGGTCAATCCCAAGAATACTTTCCTGGGAGTAAGCCCCACTGAGTAGACTTCAGTTGGATTCTGAGTAGACCTGCTTAGGATCGTGCTGTTGCTGCTCCTGTGCAGTAATTTCTTCCTTGAAACCTCAGTTTCAATAGACGGGGCTGTACAAGGACTTGGAGTCAACCTGCCCAAGTCTGGACTGGCATTAAACAGAGCCAGTATGGCTGCAGCACAAACTCAAGAATCAGGCTGGTAGTTCAAGATGGGCAGCCGTGTTCATCTGTCTGGAGCAGCAGAAAAGAGCAAGAGTCCAGTCGGATACGCCTGATTCTTGAAGACTAACAAAATATGCGGCAGGGGAGGAGCTTTCGTGAGTTGCTGCTCACTTCTCCAGATCCCTGAAAGCTCCTCCCCTGCCACATATTCTGTTGGTCTTCAAGAATCAGGCATGTGCAGAGATTTGCATGCTGAAGCCAGCTGAGGGTGTTCAGCACGAGTGTCTAATTTCTAGGGAAGCCAATGCAGAGATTTGGGAACAGGACACATTTTGGGCTTTTCAGAACACAAACAAGGAGAAACCCCACAGCAGAATCTATTGGCAAGAGCCCTTCTGGTTGTGGAGGGGGTTCTGGTTTCTGCCTCCATTCAGCTGTCCACACACGCAGACAGCCATGTGGCAGGTGTGCAGAAAGGAAACATCCCTCTCGGGTTCCTTGGGGGGTCCCAGCCAGAGCCTGGCAGCCTGAAGGGCTCCGGCACCACTCAGAGGCCTCTTTTGCAGGGCGCCGTCTCTGCTGCCTTGACCAAGTGCTCGACCGAGGAAGGCGCCATTCCTGTGAACAAAAACCTATGGTGAGTGAGTGCCCACAAAAAGGCCGCTAGTTCTCTCTGTGCCGGTCCCTGGGGGACTCTGGCTGACCCACCCCTTGGACTGTCCCTGCAGGTCGATCTCCTACGTGACCACCCTGAGCAGTTTCGCCTTCGCCCTTCTGCTGCTGGTATACGGCCTTGTCGATGTCAAGAGGGTGTGGTCAGGGGCTCCCTTCTTCTTCCTGGGTGAGTTCCCACGGCACAAACAGAAGGTCACAATGGAGAGAGGAGAGGAGAGGGTTCAAGGCTTGCTTGCTTGCTTGGGATCCCACCCCCACCCCCGCTTTAAAAGTGCAGTGGCAATTCAATTTTTTACCACTGATACTCTTGGCTAGTTTCTAAACCAGTGATCATAGCTGAATTAATTTGGGAAGTGAATCACTGCCTAGTTTTTCAGATTGGTGCCACTTGTTCCCCTCTGCCTCACAGAACCTGGTGGCCTGTGTGATAGGCGCTTACGCCCCAGTGGTCCAGAAGCCGTCGGGACCAGCACCGCTCTGCCTGGGATTCCCCCTTAACCTCCAAGCCCTCCGCCTGGAGCATGTGGCCACATCCATGGTTCTTCTGGCAAGGGGAAGGAGCAGCACGCTTCTCAGGAGCGCGGGCCCCACAGAGGAGCCCCCGTCCTCTCAAAATCACCTTCCCCGGGCCGTTGTCCTCCCTGCAAGGAGCGGGGTCAGCTAAGCAGATCAGTAGCCCCAAGAACAGTATCAGGTGCTGCTTTCACTTCTGGTTTCTTTTTTTTTAAAAAATAGTAAGAGTCAGTTCCCTTGTCTTCTGCACATTGATTAGTTTGGCTCTGGTTCATGGCAACCAAAAGTAAGAGATACTGAAGGAGACTGGTTGCAGCTGGCTGGGAAAAGAGGGCCAAACATGGAGAGGAGCAATGCAGACTATAAGTAGCCGTCCCTGCATGTCCATGCTCCTTGCAGCCTGGAAGTCACAAATAGGGGTATTTTTGGGGTATATTGAACCTGGAAAATATCAGTACTTCTCGATATTCCTGAATCCCAATACTGGTATGGCATTCGTATTTGTTAAATACTTGGGATCCCCAAATTTTTTTGGCTCCATTGTACCCTATGAGGACTATTATAGTCAATGGTCCCCATAGGGTATAATGGAGAATTGATCTGGGGGTATCTAGGGCTCTGTGGGGGTGGTTTGTTGAGGTAGAGGCACCAAATTTGCAGCATAGCTGCTGGTGCCTTTTTTCACACACACCCACACCCCAAAGTGTCAAAAAGAGACTGAACAGGGGGAGGTCCGAGTCTGCGAGCCCCAAAATGTGCCCCCGTCCTCCATTATTTCCAATTGGGGGGGGTATTTAAAGGGAATATTTTCAGGCTCAGCCATTTTGGACAGCTTTAGACAACACCAAGCTTTATGTTTGGTTGAAAAAATATTTGAAAAATACCGATATTTTCCAAGTATTTTTTCGGCTCATTGTTGCCAAATGCACACCCCTATTCACAAATAGTCTCACATATTTATTAAATTTTAAACTGCCCTCCCCTGGAGAACCTGGGCTCAGGGCATTGTACAACGTAAGTGGGAATGGGCTGCAAACTGTGTCTGGAACCCCCCTCCCCCCGGTGGTGGCCGAGGGTTCTGCAAGTGAGCAGGAACAGGCTGCAGTTGGCTGGGGGGGGGCTGCCTCTTCTGCACTGGCTGGCCGGCCGCATTCCTGTGGTTATGTCCGCTGTCCTAACAGGTCCTCTTGGACAGAATGGCCGTAGCACGGAACTGTCTCTCTAATAGTGTCTTCTGTCTTTTAAGGCATGAACTCAATTCTTGTCTACGTCGGCCATGAAATATTTGAAAACTACTTCCCATTTAAGTGGAAGATGCGGGATACACAATCCCATAGCGAGCACTTGGCTCAGAACCTCACGGCGACTTCTCTGTGGGTAATTATATCCTATGTACTCTACCGCAAAAGGATATTCTGGAAAATCTAATGAAACATCCAAGGAAAGGCAGAGGACTAAGCAGCGAAGGCGTGCCAGCGGAAGCATCCTCTCCAGACGCCACACTGACGTGCTGTTTTTTTAAAAAGGGATCGTGTGTTTGGTTTACATTCCAAATAACCTTGAACTGTATATTGAAAGATAAACATTTGTTGACTGATGTCCCATTTGTTAAAGCCTTTTTCCAATTATCTACATATATTTGTTATACTATTCCATTTCTAAATAAATAGACAGCTCCTAGGCAGAAGGATGTTTGAAGATCTGTTGTATGTACGTATCGTGTTTTTGAAAAGTATTTGAACTATATCTTGGTGCTCCACAACGGTCAGGATTAGAAGAAGAAGAAGAGAAGAAGAGATTGGATTTATACCCCGCCCTTCACTACCCAAAGGAGTCTCAGAGTGGCTTACAAACTCCTTTCCCTTCCCCTCCCCACAACAGACACCCTGTGAGGTGGGTGGGGCTGAGAGAGCTCTGACACAAACTGCTCTTTTTCAAGGACAGCTGTGCCAGAGCTTGTGACTGACCCAAGGTCACATCAGCAGGTGCAAGTGGAGGAGTGGGGACTCAAACCCGGTTCTCCCAGATTAGAGTCCGCACACTTAACCACTACACCAAACTGGCAAGTCACGTGCTGGGGCGGGGGGCAGCCGTTCCATTGGCCAGGGCGAGTCAGCTCCGCCCAGAGCCTTTGGTTCTCTTTCGCCAGGCCAGGGTCTCTGGGGAAGACAGTGTGGCTTTGGCCCCCTCCTCCTGGCCCTTTGTCTTCCTGCATTCCAATCCCCACCCATGAAAAGCCTCGCCATGAGCCTGCCTGGCGGGCCATAGCGAACGGGCCTTTCTGCAGGACTCCCGGGCAGGTTGCAGGACATGCCAGCAGCTGCTCTGTCCTTCATGCTCTCATCTCTGATCTCCTTTGGCCACCAATGAGAGAGAGATTTTCCCTGATCCAGGATTATGGTTATGGTTAAAAAAGATACTCAGGAGTCTAGTAGCACCTTAAACACGAACAGCATTTTTATTCCAGCATCAGCTTCTGTGAAGCAGCCTCTAGGCTTCTGCAGCCAGGCTGGAATCCAGGGCACCTGCATGCCCAGCACACGCGCGCGCGCGGGGGGGGGGTCGGCTTTGAAACAAAAGTGCAGGGATCAAGTACTGGACCCATGGGTTTTTTGGGTTTTGTTAGAAAATGTCATTTTATTTGCAGTGAAGTACAACGCTAAACCCCCCCCCCCCTCCAAAGAGAGCCGCCTGCCCTCTCCTGGCTGGTGCCAGTGGCTGGGACTCAGGACAGTGTTTGGAGCAGCAAGATCTTCTCGTTAATGCAGAATCTGTGCAAAACCATCATCAGGTTCTCTCTGCAGCGGGACACCTGGCGCTCCATGGCCAGGCGGAAATCTTCCTTGACGCCTTTGGTGATCCCCCTGGTCACCGTGTGATGCCTGCAGTTACCAAAACACAAGATCATCAAAGAAAAAGCAGTTATGGCTTCTGATAAAATAAATTTGACATGACGTATTAACCTAACAATTTTAATTTTCTTTTTTAAACCTAGGCATACTTCCACGTATCGTTAGGACAAAGCTGAAACTGGTTTTGAACGTTGTGAGACAGCACCATTAGGAAGTTACAGGATGCCGGGGGTGTCAGGCTGCTGCAAGTGGGAGCCCTGAGGATTAAAATCCCTCTACAAGGGTGTTCTCTGTCACCTGCTGCTCCCGTTGCTCCCACATCAACTTCTCTAGCAACTCCAAGGTGGGGCAAAAGATTAACCCAATCCCTGCAGAAGCCGAAGGCTCCTTGGCACCTCCGCCGGGGGGGGGAGGGGGGGAGTATCAGTGCCAAAGCCGCCAAGCACTTCTTCAGTCGTGTCGGTCTCTCCTGCCAACAAGCCAGTTGTTGTACATGAGGGTGTATAAAGTACATGACTTTATGCTGAGGACTTGAGGTTCTCTCTGGTCACGCAGCAGCCTTCCACCAGACTCTGGACCACCCGCCACGGTCTCCCAACCCATCCCAAGGCCTATGCTAGATGGGCTCCAGCGGGTAACCAGCAGGAGCAAACCTTGCCGTGAGCAGGAGACGGCAGAGCGGCAGCCTGCAGGAGAGCTAGCCTAGAATGTCAGCCAGGCAGGCAGCAGAGAGACAAGAACGGGGAGCCCCAAGGAACACCACTGTGCAGAGACGTTGGCTTCATGAAGCTGCTTTTATCCGAGACGTTTGCAACCATCTCTATCTGAGACCTAAATGTCTGAATTGCAATGAGGTACGAAGATCAACCAATATACAGCAACGTTCAAAAGGTGTGTTCTGAAATTAAGCCTTCTGGCGCTATTGAACACACCCCAGGCTCCTTAAGGTACTAGAGCGTGCGGCAGAGGCTCTAGAAATGAATGAAGCTCATTTACTTCTTGTGTGTGTGCCGTCAAGTCACATCTGTGGCAACCCCTGGTGGGTTTTTCAAGGCAAGAGACGTTCAGAGGTGTTTTGCCATTGCTTGCCTCCGTCTCATGTGACCCCGGTATTCTTTGGCGGTCTCCCATCCAACTACTGACCAGGGCCAATGCGGCTGAACTTCACGCTAGCCGGGGCCATCCAGGTCAGGGCATTCGGTTACGTCTATTCCACTTTTCTCCCAAATTGAGGACCCAAAGTAGTTGGCAACACTGTACTCCCTTCTTCCATTTTATCCTCACACTCCCCCCCAACCCCCCCCCCCCCCCCCGGAGGGAGGTCGGATGGGGCGGCTTGACTAGGCCAAGGTCAGCCGGCGGGGGTGTTTCACGGCAGAGCGGCAACTTGGGCTTGGGCGTCCCAGATGCTAATCCAGCATGCGAACGACGGTGCCCACACTTGTCTGACACTGCTGGGCCCTGCCTTTTCGATGGCTCCATCTTAATCACGCAGCATTCTGAGAGCTGTTCTGGCCTCAGCTGCAAAACAGAGGGTACAGTCTAGGCTTGTACTCAGTGGTTACTAGCAGAGTGCTGCACCAAACAAAATTTTGTTTGGAGACGAAACACATTGATGTGGAAAAATAGTCAAAGAAGGTACTGGAACAATAATAAATACATTTAGCAACAAGATGCCCACCTTTCACTACATTTATTGACTCAATAGCCACAAAATCTAACTGATGCACCATTATTATTTAATTGTATAGAGATCCACTAGAAAACTGAAGAACATATATATGCCAGCAATTTATGGGGAGAAAACAAAATGAACAAACAAACATGGCTTGCCAAGGAATGTAGCCACAAATGAAAAACAAACAAAAAAAAATGGATAAAACTACAGCATTAACCAAGGGCTGATCACCATGGGCAGGAAAACATGTTGACAAAAAGACAGCACACTATGAGCAGGGAGAGCCCCTGCTAGGTACCTGTCAGCAGTCTGTATGCTGGGCTGTAGTACAGGTAAGAATTCCTGCTGCAGTAACCCCAGCGGAGGGCTAGAAGTCCTTTAAGAAACAGCAAACAGCAGCATTCAAACACCCACACCAATGTCACGTGAGCCACAAAAGTCAGCGCTCCAGAGACAAAGAAAGGCAGAGGGGCTCACCCGACTGCAGGCATCACCGGGTAGAAACTGACGAAACCTCTTCCTTTATTTAACACTCCACATTAAATGGAGTATTTAAATGGAGTACTGAAGATGTCTTTGCAGGTTAAAACTCTGAACTACATCATACTGTGCTTTTAAAAACAGGAACAGTCCAACATTTTAGTGAAACTATTTCTGGATAATGGTTGTTGTCAGTACTCGTGAAAGGTTATTACCTAAGCATTTCATCTTTCTTTGAAGACCTCAGCTTTTCTTCCCATATCTGATGGGGTCCAGCCGATACTTACTGACTTCATTAAGAGCCTGAGGATTATATTATTACTGGAGAAGCAAGCGGCAGAGAAATTTGGACTCCTTCAATTGAACCCTAATTTCTCCATCACAACTTAATGCAGCTGTAAAAAAAAAAAACTATTTCACCTTCCTTTATCCCAGAAGACAGCCCCCTACCTGGGTGTCAGTTGATCTGACCACATGGACCCATGCCACGATGACCTTGAGACTAGACTATTATAACGTGCTCTACAAGGGGCACAGTTGCAGTTAGAGGGTAGGTGGGGAGCAGGCATATCACACCCATTCTGCAATCACTCAGTTGGTTACCAATCATCAGTTCCCAGGTTCAGTTCACTGTTCTGGTTACCACCGACACAGCCCTTCGTGGGTTTGGGCCCACCGACCTGCAGGACTGGCCTCTCATCTGAACAAAGCCTTCCGAGGGTGCCGTCCCGCAAGTGGCCGCTGCCTGTTCACACAAACCCTCTCTGTGGCACCCCCCACCTCGTGGGACTGCCTCCTGGGTGGGATCAGGAAGGCCCCCACGGTTCGGTCACTCTGCAGAGTGTGCGGAACAGAAACATTCAGGGGGAGATGGAGGGAGGGACTTGGACTGCAGTAAAAGGGCACCACTCGGGATTATGCTTTGCTAAGGGAAGGGGGGGCGGGGGGGCTCTGCGGCTGCTGCCGTGCTCGCTGTGCCTGGGCACCTTCCTCTAACTGCACTGCCCGTCTACCTCTGTAACCCGCTTCTGGCACCATCGTATTACACGCCTTAGGCAGGTTTTCTTGCACTGCTTTCCGCACCTGTAACCTTATAGTCCTATTGGAGGTATTGTGCTGTCCAACTGGATTGTTTCCTGTGTTTTATAATCTGCTTTGAGTCTCAGTCAGAAAGACAGGGCACAGGCAAAGAAAACAACGCTGACAGGCTCCCCCCAACACGGACGCGGCACGATTGCTTCAGAGGCACATGGAAACTGTATTGCCACATCAGGCTGCCTTTAAGAACAGGGCTACGCTGAGCACTGCAATGTCATTGTGCCCAACACCCGCTTGACAGCCCCCTTCTCTGTTGCAAGGGTGGATGGGTGGGTGGCATGTCCAACTCGACCAGCCTCTTTGAATAAAACTAACTTTCCTGCCACTTTTTAGGTTGTGCTGAGGCGTGTGTGAGGGGGAGTTCCCAGGGAATACAGACTAGCTGGTCAACGGAGAAGCCCTCCGTAGCGTCTGGACCCTTTTGTGCTAGATGTCCCCGTGCTCCGCATCTATGAGACCAAAACAGTAGCTGCCTTTGCTCTTCTGACACTTGTTGAATGTCAGAAATACACAACCAGCCAGTCTGAATCACAATGATGGAGCTCCTTCAGGCAGCACAGCCTGGGGAGCCACCGCAGTGACAACTAGACTCTCCACCCCTAAGTCTTCCTTCTGCATTCATTCTCCGGTACACGTTAATGCTGCAAAGTAACCCAGTCCTCCGGGATGCCCCAGACTGAGTAGCTCCCACTTCCAAGAGGCGGCGAGACGTCTGACAAGGACAGAAGTGCAGCAGACTGTGCGTCTCACACACACACAGGTGGACTAAAACACACGCAGAGAGGAGATGCTGTTCTGTGTGACACAAATTACTGTCACCACCAAAGAGAAGCGGTGGGAATGCCCCCCTCCCCCGGAGGCAGCTGACCTGTCCCCCAGGGCCACCCCACTGCTGTCCCGGGTGAGGGGAGCAGGAGCTCCCTGAAGGCCAGCCGAGCGTGGGGCAGGGCTTGAGCTCCCGTGAATCATGGCTCACTTCTTCAGACCCACAAAAGTGACTCCCAAACACTCCTCCCCGGCCACCTATTTTGCTAGTCTTGAAGGTGCTCCTGGACTCTGGCTCTTGCCTGCTGCTGAAGACAGACGAGCACGGCTAATGAGAGGGAAACGTTGGGGAGCCCCAGCTGACCCCCCCAAGCTATAAATTGGCCTTAGAGCCCTCCTCCCAGGACCAAAAAATCAGAAGACCTGCAAAATTCTGTCAGAGCCCCTCACAGAGAGCAAGTCAGAAATAGGCCATCGGCTCCTTCCGAAGAGGCCCTCAAAAGTCCGCAGTGGGCAAGGAGCACTGACCAGAGAATGGCTCGCGCCAGCCACGGGCTCCTGCAGACCACCCCACCCCCAGTTTGCTGTGTCCATTTGCTCCTGCTGCGCTATTTCACTGCACTCCTCGAGAAAACTGCAGCACTCTTTGCTTTTGTGATTTCCTGAATGTCCCCACCAATATCCTATTTCTCTATCCTAGCTGACAGGAGCTTACTTGCAAGGTACTAGTTAAAAATGCTCATCTGGACACATGTCCAGTTCCCCCAAATCTCAACCAATCCACATTCAAGCACAAAGGAGCAACTTTAAAGTATGAAGAAGAGCCGTAGGTGTGGCTGAAGACCCAAGGAGCAGGAGGCCTCAGAAAGGCGAGCAGAAGAGAAGAGCCTCCTGTTGCCCCTCTGACTTGTGAACAGCCCCACACAACACGCAGCCCTCAGCAGTTCCTTCCAAGCCCTGGCAGGACAGGACCAAGGGGCAGGGCGAGGCTAGCATCCTCATCACTACCAGCCACCCAAAATGCTCAGGTGCTGCTAAGCTCGGCTCAGAGACCGAGGGCCGCACCTCCTGCCAGGGGCTGCAGGCTTCCAGGGGGAGAGACAGGCAGTTGCAGCAACACAACCACCACAACCCGGGAGCCTCGTGGCATCTTGAAGACTTCACATTTTATTTCAGCATACATTTCCACGGACTTCCATTTGCACCTGCCAAAGGCGCTTGAGTCCACAAAGGCTTATGCTGGAAGAAAATGCCGTTCGTCTTTAAATGCCACCCGCCTCCCGCTCACAATGGAAGGCTCCACTGGAGACTCAAGACAACCGGCCGTGGAACTGTCAGGTGACTCGTCATACGGTCAGGCCCTTCCACGTATCTGAGCAGAGCAAGCATGCTGGTGGGCCAATCAGGTGCCGCCTGTCCTTCAGGAGGCCTCCAGACCAGAGCATTTCGCACCTTTGCATTCACTGACTGTCCTGGGAGGCTTGGGGGGGGTGGGGGGGTGGTTACTGCTCACTGTTGTTTTATTTTAATGCCCAAGTAAAATAAAAACTCCACCTTTGCCATGGCTTTGTGTTAATTCACTGCCGGCCTAACCTAAAGCAGGGGCAAGTGAAAAATCAAACCAAACCAAAAATCAAACCAGCTCATGGATACTTCACAGTATTGCTGTAGCCCTTCAGATTAGTCACACCACATAAAATTACATCCGTTACCAAGGAACAAATTTAACAGTAGGGGGGGGGGGAATGTTCTTCGTACTTTATTAACATTCCCTGATTCGGCAACAGTTCCAGGTTAATTTTTCCTCCTTCTTGGGTTCTTAAGTAGGCAAATTCTTCCAGCATATCAATATCTGGAGAAACTGTTCAGGTCCCAAAAGACACACTCAAAGGGGAAGCAAGCAGAGCCTTGCAGGGGAGATGCTCACAGGGCCTGCTCTGCGACTGGCTCCACACTCTGGCGCTTTGCTCCTGGAGGGCCCCCCCCCCCGCATCCAGCCCGACACACGGAGCACAGGCCCCTCCCTCGGGGGGCTCTGCTGTTCCCACGCATGCCATTAAAACGTGGAACTCGCGGCCAGAGGACCTAGTGATGGCCACAGGAACAAACAGCTGTAAAAGAGGATTGGTGGTGGTGTCTGTCCGTCAGTGGTGTCTAAAGGGAACCTCCACATTCAGAGGCACTAAGCCAGGAGGCCTTGGCCTCTATGCCCTGTTGTTGGCCGTGCACAGGAACGGGTTGGCCACTTTGTCAGAAGATGGGATTGCTAGATGAGATGGACCCTAGCTGGTCGGATCCAGAAGG